TCATTAAGCAAAGCACACTTGTCAATTTCAGTTAGTGCAATTTTAAAGTTTTTATATTGAACATAAGAAATTTTTTTACTACTTGTGTAAACGACAATCGGATAATGTACAATAGAGTGTTGTATAATTTCTTCTTGTAATTCTTCAAATATGTGATTTGATAATTCTTCTAAAGGTTTTCCACATTGATGCAATTTTTTTTTATTTTTTGCATATGATTTTCAAGCTTAAAACAACTGAAATTGTCAAGACACCCAAAAGTTTTTACATCATTAGCAATATGAACATTATGTGATATATGTTCTTCACCGTTAATAACAACATAATTGGATACAAACCATAATAATAATGAATGTGCATAAGCAAGATATTTTGCATATTTGCGGATCAGCCATTATTTTTATCGCAATACTGAAAGAAAGAAAGTGATTATACCTAATCAGAGGTAAGATTGACTTCAAAATTACTATTCCAGTATATAACAAAAATTGACGCAATTCCGTAGCTTTCCATTTATCAATATCAATTAATGTTCTAGGTTTCCTTGCAAATTCAGATAGAATATAATGTTTAACATCTATTAAATGTTGTGAAATTGAAATAACATCTTCTGCATTTAATCTGTTATTTTTATTTCCCCTGATCCACAATTGCAACAATCGTTTCGTAACACCTAAGTAAACAAGGTGCATATAATCAAGTGGAATTTGTGTAACCATCCCGATAGGAAGGTTTTCTAATACAGAATCGCCTCTGTGATGTTCTATTTGATTTCGACTTTTAAACGAGTACGTAATATAAGGTGTAGTAAAAAGAAATCCATTATTTTTGCATGAAATTGAAGGCTTTATATAACATAGTTAGAATGATCCGATTTAGGTCAAACATGCACCGTTTTGTTCAATAACTTGTTGCCATTTTGAAGGTAATTCCATTATGCCTCTCTCATAGAAACCCTTGTCCCTATTGACAAAAAACTGGGACAGTCGATTTTCACCAGCAAAATCATTCGCCATAGACAGGAACAAGTGGTAATCACTTGGTGCCAGGTCCGGACTATAAGGTGGATGCATAAGAACCTCTCAACCAAGCTCTCGGAGCTTCTGACGAGTCACTATCGATGTGTGTGGCCTGGCGTTGTCCTGATGGAACACAATTCCTCTCCTATTGGCCAAAGCTGGCCGCTTCTGGGCGATTGATTCCTTCAGACGGTACAATTGTTGACAGTATAGGTCAGAATTAAGAGTTTGGCCGTAGGGGAGTAACTCATAGTGGATGATTCCCTGCTAATCCCACCAAACACACAGCAAAGTCTTCCTGACCGTCAATCCTGGCTTGGCCACCGTTTGCGCCGGCTCACCGCGTTTCGACCACGACCGTTTTCGCTTGAAGTTGTCGTAAGTGACCCACTTTTCATCACTAGTCATCATCCACTGCAGAAATGGGTCGATTTTGTTGCGATTCAGCAGCAATTCGCAGATGGAAATTCGGTCCATGAGGTTTTTTTGCGTTAACTCGTGTGACACCCATGCATCGAGCTTCTTTTTGTATCCAGCCTTATTCAAGTGATTCCAACGGTTTTTTGTGAAATGTTTAGCTCCTGGGCAATCGAAACAGTGCTTACATGACGGTCGGACTCGACGATTTCCATTATTTTATCGACATTTTCGACAATTGACCTTCCAGAGCGTGGTGCATCTTTGACATCAAAATTACCGGAACGGAATCGACGAAACCAAAATTGCGCGTGATTGGCTGTTACAGTATCAGGACCATAAACACTATTCACATTTTCAGCCGCCTGGCTTGCGTTTTCGCCTTTATCGAAGAAGAACTGTAAAATATGGCGTATTTTCTCTTTGCTGGTGTCCATCTTTTACGCGCGCTCAAACAATACGCGAGTCAAACAATTACAAAACTGTCTGAGAAGTTTTTTTTTGTACGAAATCTTATCTTTCTAACGCTATCTAGCGTAAACCAACCGCACTTATACAACGCGAGATACACATTACTAAAGCCATCTATTGAAAAAATAATGGATTTCTTTTTACTACACCTTATATATTATTTGTTTCGGGAAAAATTACTCTATTGTGTACGAAGTCACCTTCTTGTATACATTTCGAACACGAGAAATATCCAGTGTGACCCTTCGTGCACGTTATGAATGATTTAGCTGGAGCATCACACAGTATTGCATTAATATTTACTTTATATTATTATTGTGAACAATTATACCATTTTCAGATAAGAATAGAAATTCGTCAACAAAACTGGTGAGAAAATCATTTACACTACTTGGTTTACACATGCCGTGATAAATACCAATTACAAATGGCAATGTATAAATACCAATATTTTCAATCGATGCCATTATGGGCCAAAATTGACTAGTAGAACTTTTCGATATTGGCAAGCCATCCATATTTACGTTTATTTTAATTTTATTTGTCTCGATAAATTTGAAATATATTTTTATGGACCGAGCCAAAGCACGAGCAAGACCAAAATGTACATAATGGCCATTACCCATGCATTTTATATGTTCAGATGCATTGCGTGGCGTATGAAGTAAATCCTTAACATCACTAGGCAATTCTATATGACCATGTTTTCTTAATATTGCAAGTAACTCATTAGCAGTATTGTGAGGGATGTTACGTTGTATAATTAATATTTGTATGTCTTTCCGTAAGCTTTGCTCATTACAACTCTCAGAAATATTTATAGATATAGATATATTCTCTTGTAAATCAGGAGTATATTCTTCATTGCTTTCATCTTGCAACCCTACTTATAATTTCTCCGATTACTTTATGTTTTCAAGTGATTCATTATTAGTACAAGATATGTTATCAGAATTTACAGTAATAGTTGCCGCTTGTGCTACGATATCAGATGCTGCATTAAAGCTGTTTTTAATAAACTATTATTTTCACTATTATATACATCTCGATTAATGATCTGATTCTTTCGTCTCTTTGATAAATACTTAACATCATTAGGCATGGTGACGTAAAGTGCAAGTTTGGCCTAAACGAAAATTACAGAAATGTGAACTCGCATTACACATGTACCAAAACTAAAAGAAGCTTTAAAAATTTAAATAAGTTTACATTAATAATATTATTGTTATATTTATATTGTTTCTAGAATTATTTTATATGAGACATTCATACCTATCTTTTAAAAAATTAATAATAACACAACAAAAATCTGTAAACTGTAAACTGTACTCTAAATTTTTTGTTCCTTTTTTCAAGATTTTTAATGTTTTAATAGAGTAAATTTTTATAACATATATTTTTAGATTAATAGAGTGTGTGGATGCGATGAAAATACAGAATACATGGCATTGAGAACAAGTTTAAAGCAATATTTAGAAGATATAAAATGTTATGATAAAAAATGATAAATTTTGTTAACTATTGTGTATTAAAGTATTAATTAAAAAAATAATGTTCAAGGTATAAGAAAACAATGTGAAATAATATTTTGAAATTATTTTATACCACACACACACACACACACACACACACACACACACACACACACACACACACACACACACACACACACACACAC